ATTTATAAAGACTTCAACTATAGGGATTATCAAAACAAGATTAGAAAAAAAAAGATTAGAAAATAATTATGTTTCCTGTTTTTAAATAAAAGATAAAGTAGATACATATACAGTGGAATATTATTCAGCCAAAAAGAGAAACCCTGTCATTTGCAGCAATATGGTTGGATCTAGAGAAGGTAATGATAAGCAAAACAAGCCAGTCAGAGAAAGACAAACACTATATATCACTCATATGTGCAATTTAAGAAACAAAACAGCAAGCAAAGGGAAAAAAAAGAGACAAACCAAAAAACAGACTCTTAACTATAGAAAACAGATGGTAACCAGAGGGGAGGTGGAGAGGTAGGTGGGGAGATGGGTGAAATAGGTGATGGGGATTAAGAAGTGCACTTATCTTGATGAGCACTGAGTAATATATGGAACTGCTGAATCACTATATTGTACGCTAAAACTAATACAGGGACATGTGGGTGGCTCAGTGGTTGAGCGTCTGCCTTTGGCTGAGGGAGTGATCTTGGGGTCCTGGGATTGAGTCCTGCATTGGCTCCCTATATGGAGCCTGCTTCTCCCTCTGCCTGTGTCTCTGCCTCTCTCTGTGTTGCTCATGAATAAATACAATCTTTTTTAAAATGTTTTTTTTTCCCTTCTTTTGCCAACTTGGTATTAATTTTTGTTTAAGGGTGCCTGGGTGGCTCAGTTGGTTAAGTGCCTGTTTTTGGCTCAGGTCATGACCCTGGGGTCCTGGGATTGAGTCCTGTGATGGGCTCCCTGCTGAGTGGGGAATCTGCTTGCCCTCTCCCTCTGCCCCTCCGCAATGCTCATGCTCACTCACAAATAAATACATAAAAAATCTTTTTTTTAAAAAAAAAAAAAAAGAATTTTTGATTTAATGGGGCACCTGGGTAGCTAAGTGGTGGACTCTTGATTTTAGCCTAGGTCATGATTTCAGGGTCCTGGTATTGAGCACTCTATTAGGCTCTGTACTCAGCAGGGAGTCTAGTCTGCTTGAAGATTCTGTCTGTCTCTCTCTCTCCCTCTGCCCTTCCCCCTGCTCATGCACGCTTTCTCTCTCTCAAATCTTTAAAAAAAAATTTTTTTTATTTAATATGTATTAATTACATTAATCTCACTTTGCATATATGAAGCTCATTTCACTAAATTAGTTTATAACTTCAAATGATTCCCAGTACATGCTGCAATAAATATATTCTGTAAAGCAAACAACAAATAAAGACAAAGTGGAGATTACCAAAAAGTAACTTAGCTTGTTTGACAAGAACCAGAATGAATTTTAACACCCCCCCGCAATAGTAAGATAGCCAAAATTTAAAACTTGATGGGTGAATTTAAAAGTTTAAAACTGGGATGCCTGGATGGCTCAATGGTTGAGCATCGGCCTTTGGCTCAAGGCTTGGTCAGAGTCCTGAGATGGAGTCCCACAATGGGCTCCCCACAGGGAGCCTGTTTCTCCCTCTGCTTATGTCTCTGCCTCTCTCAAAAATAAATAAATAAAATCTTTTAAAAAATAAAAGTTCAAAACTAATGACCTAGAAGATAAATCAGAAGAAACTATCTAGAATGGCAAAAAGAGAAAAAAAGACAGAAAATGTGGAAGACAAGTTAAGAGACATGGGAGATAGAGAAGGTCTAATATGCATGTAATTGGAGAACCATAGAGAGGAGATAGCAGAGGTAATATTTGAAGAGATAGTGCCTAAGAATTTTCTACAATTCATTAAAGATAACAATTTGCAGATTCAAGAAGTTTAACGAATTCCAAGCAGAATTAATAAACAATATCATAGAGCAGAAAAAAAAATTAAAATTTCAGACCAAAGGGGAAAAAAGTCAAGTGAAGGTCTTGGAATTAGTGTTCTAAGGTGTTTGTATTGTCTAGATCAACATTATATTTTGAAGCAATGCATGCTGCAATTTTAAAGGTAACTTTAAAACAATACATAACTTAAAATCTAGAATAGAAAAAGAGAATGATAAAAAAAATGCAGATCTAAACAAAAGCAAGAAAAGGAGAAAAACATAAAAAACCTAGGAGAAATAGAAAGCATAAAATAGAAAAGATCCTCCCATTCTTTCTTGAACCCATGCTAATCAGGCTATCTTCCCCATCACTACAGAGAAAGTGCTCTTGTTAGATTGCCAATGACTTAAATCCAATGGTCATTTTTCAGTATTTAACTCACTTGTCTTATCAGAAATAAGTGACATAAGTCAACACTTTCTTTCTTAAACTAGATTCACTAGGGTTCCAGGTTTTCTCTACACCCCCCTGGTCTCTCCTCTTTGTCTCATTTTCTATTTATTTCTTGTGTCCTAGAATTCTTAAAATTGCAGTCTCAAGGTTCAGCCTTGGTTCTCAATCTGTACGTAATGTTATCTACCCTCAATCTGGAGGTAATATTATCCAATCTCACGGTTTTAGTAATACTATTTGCATTACATAATACAGCAGCCACTAGTCACATGTAGCTGTATATATTAATTAAAATTAAATTTAAAGATATTCAGTACTTGAGTCACACTAACCACATTTGAAGTGTTCAACAGCCACATGTGGCTAGTGGCTACCAAACAACACAGTGTAGATATAAAACATTTCCATCACTGCAGAAAGTTCTATTGATCTAGACAATGACAACTTCCACAGTAACATTTCCAGCCAACATTTCCCTCCTGGATTTCACACTTTCATATCCAACTGTCTAATCTTTTAGATCAGACTAACATCTTTTTTAAAAAAGTTTTATTTATTTATTTAGAGAAAGAGAGAGTGCATACAAGCAGAGGGAGAAAGAGAATCCTAAGCAAACTCCCTGCTGAGCACAGAGCCTGATGCAGGGTTCGATCTCAGGACCCTGGGATCATGACCTGAGCTAAAATCAAGAGTCAGACACTCGTTCAACTGACTGAGACATGACAGTGTCCCCACTTTAATAATATAACTGATATAAAACACTGTATTATACAATGTAATGATTCGATATATGTGTATATTATTAACATCTTATTTGGATTTAATGGACAATATATCCAAAACTGAACTTTTAGTTTTTTCCCCAAAAAACTATCCTACTCATTGTTTTCCTAATTTCAAATGATGGCATCTAAATACTATTTATTCAGGTCAAAATTCTTGGGGGTATCCATGACTTTTTTTCTCAGTGTACATTCAATCTATTAGGAAAACAGTGTTGGCTTTCTCTTCAAGTATATCCAGGGTCTGGCCACCATCACTTATTACCAAGATTTCTACAACAGTTTTCTGATGGAGATCCCTGCTTCTACCCTATGCCCTTACAGTCTACTCTGTACATAGCAGGCAGAGTTGTGGAGAGTTATAGAGAAGCACTTGATCTCACCCAATTGGTTTTTATCACTAGGCAAAATGCCATTAGTGGGCAGGGACTACGGATGCTGCTAAATATCCTACAATGAACAAGACAGCCTCCTACAACAAAGAATTATTCAGTCCAAAATGTCAATAGTTCTGAGGTTGAGAAACCCTGCTCTAGGTAAGTAGAATGTGATTTTACCTAGGTATGAAGAAACCTCCCCCCTTGTAAGTAGGGCCAGCCCTAACCCAGAGGCAGCCCATCCAGGCATCTTCCTGAAATTTTAGCAACTAAAAGCATTCTGTTTACAATAAGAAAACCGGTTCCCCCCCCCCCACACCCTGATTGGAATGTCCCTGAATAGGTTCATGTTGACCCTCCCCGAAATCAACCTGGATGCCATGCGACTCCCTCGGTTCTTTTGTCTTTAGGCAGTTTCTTTCCTTTTGCCTTTTAAAAGATACCTGTAATTGCTAATCGGGGCTCTTTTCCTCCTCGGAGGCGGAGAGCCCGTTTGCGCAAACGTTCAATAAACCCTCTTGCTAATTGCATCTGCCTGTCTGGGGTCTGGGGTCTGGGTCTCTGGGGCGTCCACCGGGCCACGTTGACACCCGTGAGCCAGGGTCCAACATTTGGGGGCTCGTCCGGGATCTGAGACGCCCCAGACTCAATCCTAAGACCGGTAGGAGGTAAGACCGAGCTCGCTAAATGTCATATCTGTCTCGTCCGTTTGTCTGACTGGCCGGGTCTGTTTTGTGCCGGGTCTGTATTGTGCCTGCAGGACGCTGTACTCTGTATTCTGTATTTGGACCAGCGGGGGAGGCAGACGTGCCCGAGACCCCTGGTCCCCCTCCGGAGTCGGACTCCGGAGTGGTCTGGAAGAGGAACGGAGCCCTGGCACTCCCTCCTCTTCGGGGAGGGTCGTGGTTCGCGACCGCTCCCATCTGAATCTGCCGCGCCAGTCCTGTCGTTCGTGTGCGTCTGTTCGTTCCGTGTTTTTCTTCCTTTCCTGTCCTCCTCCTCACCGCTCACCCCTTCTCTAAACCCATGGGGCAGACTGTAACCACCCCTTTAAGCCTCACTCTAGATCACTGGAAAGAAGTCGCCGGCCGGGCACACAATCTTTCGGTCGAAGTCAGAAGACGAAGATGGGTCACCTTCTGCTCCTCAGAGTGGCCGGCTTTCAACGTTGGGTGGCCCAGGAACGGAACTTTTAATATTGATATTATCTTGCAGGTGAAGGCCCTGGTCTTCCAGCCAGGACCCAATGGACACCTCGATCAGGTGCCGTACATCATAGTATGGGAAGATCTCGCTAAGAATCCACCCCCCTGGATAAAATGCTTTATCCCTTCTCAAGGGGGACCGGGCCCGAGACCCTCACTCCCTCCCTGCCACACTCCCCCAATTCCCCGTCCCTCCTCTCCCTCCACCCTTTGCCCCCTAAAATTTCCTGAATCAAAACCTAAGGAGCCGCCTGTGCTCCCAGGGGACCAGGACAGTCTCCTTCTCTTGGACTCCTCTCCTCCCCCTTATGCCCAACCCCCAACGCCCCGCTCGGAGGCCCCTACCTCTCCCTCCGCTCCCTCAGCTCCGTCCCCCGACTCTACGGGGGCAGAGGGGCAACCCCTAGCTTCACCCCCGCTCGCCAGTCGCCTCCGCTTTCGGCGAGAGCGCGGGGGAGAGTCGGAAGACGTCTGGACCTCCCAGGCATTTCCCCTCCGATCAGTAGGCGGCCAGATGCAATATTGGCCGTTCTCTGCCTCTGACCTTTACAACTGGAAAACTCATAACCCCTCCTTCTCCCAAGACCCCCAGGCGCTAACCGGATTAATTGAGTCAATTCTGTTGACCCACCAGCCGACCTGGGATGACTGCCAACAGCTCCTGCAGACTCTCCTCACCACGGAGGAGAGACAGCGCGTGTACCTCAAAGCTCGCAAAAACGTCCCCGGGGGCGGATGGGAGGCCGACCCAGCTGCCTAATGAGATTGAGGATGTTTTCCCCTTGGTTCGCCCGACCTGGGACTACGACACTGTTGCTGGTAGGGAGCGGCTCCGTCTCTATCGCCAGGTACTCCTAGCGGGTCTCAAAGGGGCAGGGCGTCGCCCCACCAATTTGGCAAAGGTACGTGCTATAGTGCAGGGAAAAGATGAGACGCCGGCAGGTTTTCTGGAGAGGTTAATAGAAGGCTACCGCATGTATACTCCCTTTGACCCCTTGGCTGAAGACCGCCAACCAGATGTAATTATGTCCTTCATTGGACAGTCGGCCTCGGATATTCGTAATAAGTTACAACGGTTGGAGGGACTTCAGGGGTACACCTTACAGGACTTAGTGAAAGAGGCAGAGAAGGTTTTTAACAAGCGAGAAACTCTAGAGGAAAGGGAGGAAAGGATCCGTAAAGAGCAAGAGGAACGGGAGGATAAGAGAGATAAAAGACGTAATAAAGAGCTGACTAGGATACTGGCCACCGTAGTACAGGGCTCAGGGCAGAGTAAGTCAGGACAGAGTAGGGACCTGGGAGACAAAAGAGGACTACGGGTTGAACGAGACCAGTGTGCCTACTGCAAGGAAAAAGGACATTGGGTTAAAGATTGCCCAAGGAAGGGCCAAACGCAGGGACCTAAAAAGAAGCCCATTCCTGTTTTGTCCCTAGAAGATGAAGATTAGGGATGTCAGGGCCAGGAACCCCCCCCCCCCGAGCCTCGGATAACCCTTAAAGTGGGGGGACAGCCGGTGACCTTCCTGGTCGATACGGGAGCTCAACATTCAGTTTTAACTGAGGCAAAAGGACCCTTGAGCTCTAAAACGTCTTGGGTTCAGGGGGCAACTGGAGGCAAGTTATATCGATGGACAACCGAATGGAAGGTCCACCTGAGCACTGGGCAAGTAACGCATTCCTTCTTACTGGTCCCAGACTGCCCTTACCCTCTCCTAGGCAGAGACCTTCTTTCAAAAGTAGGGGCCCAGATACATTTTCAGCAAAAAGGGGCCACTATTACTGGCGCGGGAGGGCAGCCCCTCCAGGTACTGACCTTGCGCCTAGAGGATGAACACCGGCTGCACGAGGACTCTCCACCGTCCGTGCAGCCCCTAGATTCTGAATGGCTCACTAACTACCCTCAGGCCTGGGTGGAAACGGCCGGAATGGGACTAGCTGTAAACCAGCCGCCCATAATTATAAACTTAAAACCCTCGGCCACCCCCATATCGATCCGGCAATATTCAATGAGCAAAGAGGCCAAAGAAGGCATTCGGCCACATATACAGAGACTATTACAATTGGGCATTTTAATACCTTGCCAGTCGCCCTGGAATACTCCTCTATTACCCGTAAAAAAACCCGGCACAGGAGATTACCGGCTGGTATGAGATTTACGAGAGGTTAACTGGAGGACAGAGGACATACATCCCACGGTGCCAAATCCCTACAACTTGCTCAGCACCTTACCCCCAAGCCATGTCTGGTATACGGTGTTAGATCTAAAAGATGCATTCTTTTGCCTAAGGTTAAGCTCTCAAAGTCAGCCTATTTTTGCTTTTGAATGGAAAGATCCTGAGACGGGATTCTCAGGACAACTCACTTGGACAAGGCTGCCGCAGGGATTCAAAAACTCCCCCACTTTGTTCGATGAGGCCTTGCATCGGGATTTGGCAGATTTCCGAGTTGGCCATCCGGACCTCGTCCTTCTGCAGTACGTGGATGATTTGCTCCTTGCAGCTAGGACAGAACAGGATTGTGTAAAAGGTACGGGGGCCCTGCTTGAGAGACTGGGAGAACTGGGGTATAGGGCCTCCGCCAAAAAGGCCCAAATAGGCCAGAGACAAGTGACCTATCTGGGATATCTCCTGGAAGGAGGCCAGAGGTGGCTGACGGAGAGCCGCAAAAAGGCTGTAGCCCTGATCCCAGCACCCACTAATGCCAAAGGACTACGAGAGTTCCTCGGCAGTGCTGGGTTCTGCCGCCTCTGGATACCCGGGTTTGCGGAGATGGCGGCTCCCCTATATCCTCTCACGAAATCCAACACCCCCTACCACTGGGGAAAGGAGCAGCAATTGGCTTTTGACAAAATAAAAAGGGCCTTATTGACCGCCCCTGCCCTGAGCCTCCCAGATGTAACCAAGCCTTTTACGCTATATGTTGATGAACATAATGGAATAGCCAAAGGGGTCCTAACTCAAAAACTGGAACCCTGGAAGAGGCCCGTGGCATACTTTTCAAAAAAATTAGACAGCGTGGCTGCAGGATGGCCCCCATGTCTCCGAATAATAGCGGCTGTGGCAGTCCTGGTAAAAGACTCAGACAAGTTGACTTTTGGCCAACCCCTCACTGTGGTGGCCCCCCACGCCGTAGAGACAGTCATCCGCCAGCCCCCTGATCGATGGCTCTCAAACGCCCGGGTCACCCATTATCAGGCCATGTTACTGAATTCTGAGCGGATACAGTTTGGAACGGCTACATCTCTAAACCCGGCCACCTTGCTTCCAGAAACCGAGTCCCCCTCCCTAGTAATGCATGATTGCCACCAGATCCTAGCTGAAGTCCATGGCACCAGAGGGGACTTGACGGACCAGCCTTTGCCAGATGCTGAAGCAACCTGGTTCACCGATGGGAGTAGCTTTCTACGAAATGGTGAGCGTAAAGCCGGGGCAGCGTGGTAGATGGGAAAGCTGTCATTTGGGCCAGTGCCTTAGAGCCTGGGACTTCAGCTCAAAGGGCAGAGCTTATAGCCCTAACTCAGGCCCTAAGAAAGGCTAAGGACAAAAAGGTCAACATTTATACTGACAGCAGATATGCTTTTGCAACTGCCCATGTTCATGGAGAAATATACCGTAGAAGGGGTCTCCTAACCTCAGCAGGTAAAAACATCAAAAACAGAGAAGAAATACAAGATCTTCTCCATTCCCTCTTTCTGCCGAGAAAACTGAGTATAATTCACTGTCCTGGGCATCAGCGAGGCAATGACCCAGTAGCAGAGGGGAACAGGATGGCCGATGAGACAGCACGGGCCGCTGCACTAGGCCCACAGGCCCTCTCCCTACAAGTACCAGAGGCTGTCCGGACACCGGGGCAACTCTCTCTCGAGTACTCAGACAGCGACCTAGATATCGTCCAGCAAATAGGGGCAAAATATGACGAGCAAATGAAGGTCTGGAAACACCAAGGGAAGACGGTCCTGCCCCAGAAAAGGGCCAAAGAACTGGTGACTCACCTCCACCGATGGACTCACCTCGGACACAAAAAATTAAAAGCACTCCTCCGGAGAGAAGGTCAGACCTATTACATTCCCAAACTCCCCTCCCTGATCCAACAGGTAACCGATGCTTGTGTACCTTGTGCTAAGGTAAATACCAAACACCTCAAGATGCCTGAGGGAACCAGGATGAGGGGAGAAAGACCCGGAACTAATTGGGAAGTAGACTTCACCGAAATCAAGCCAGGTAAATATGGTAACAAGTACCTCCTAGTGTTTATAGATACCTTTTCAGGCTGGACAGAAGCTTTCCCCACCAAGCGAGAAACCGCCCAGGTGGTTGTCAAGAAAATCCTGGAAGAAATTTTCCCCCGGTTTGGACTGCCCAAGGTAATAGGGTCGGACAATGGCCCCGCCTTCGTCTCCCAGGTAAATCAGTTGGTGGCCAGATTACTGGGGATAAATTGGAAATTACATTGTGCATACAGACCCCAGAGCTCAGGTCAGGTAGAAAGAATGAATAGAACAATTAAAGAGACCCTAACTAAATTGACATTGGAGACTGGCACTAGAGACTGGGTCCAACTCCTCCCTATGGTTCTGTTCCGAGTCCGGAACACTCCCGCGCGCCATGGGCTAACTCCTTACGAGATTCTGTATGGAGGTCCCCCACCAGTAACGGACTTACTAGATTCTGCTATTGACCCTCTTGCTAACACTCCCGGTTTACAGGACAGGCTAAAGGCGCTCCAGATTATCCAGCACCAGATCTGGAAACCCCTTGCGGCTGTCTACCGCCCCGGAGACACAACCGGCCCACACCCGTTCCAGATCGGGGACTCCGTCTACGTCAGGAGACATCAGTCCAGGACGCTTGAGCCCCGCTGGAAGGGCCCATGTACTGTACTACTGACCACCCCAACCGCCTTAAAGGTAGACGGCATTGCTGCTTGGGTCCACGCCTCACACGTCAAGCGCGCCCCATCAACGAGCACCGCTGACGCCAGCCAGGACGGACCGGACGAGCCACTCCAATGGAAGCTCCACCGCACCCAAAACCCGCTCAAGATAAGACTTTCAAAAATTGTTCAATGACAGTTGTTATATTCCTACCTCTCCTAGCGCTCTTCACCTCCGCCAAAGGTGACCCTCATGCCCTCAAAAGGTTAACCTGGCAGGTACTAACGTCTGGGGGTGACGAGGTCTGGTCTATAACTAAGACCGCCCCCGTGGGAACCTGGTGGCCTAACCTATATCCTGACCTATGCAAGCTAACCATAGGGGCCCCTAGCCCATGGGACCTAGAGGGATACTTCGACACCTCTAGAGCCCCTAACCAAGAAAGCCCTCCAGGGCGACTGGGATTAGACCCATGGGGAGGATGTGGCACGCCTGAAAGAAGGGCCATGCTAAGCACTCTTCCCTTTTATGTCTGTCCCGGGCACCACAGAGATCGCAGGCTAAATCCCACCTGTGGAGGAGGGGAATATTTCTATTGTAAAAATTGGGGGTGCGAAACTACTGGGGATACAGAATGGAGGCCCTCCTCCTCCTGGGATTATATCACTGTCAAGGCTAACTATACTCACCCGACATTTAGCAAATGGAAAACCCTTAATTATGGGCCCTGCCAAGGGTGGTGTCATCCCCTACGGATATCCTTCACGGAGCCCGGAAAAAGGGCTACTTACTGGGCCAATGGATATACGTGGGGACTCAGGTTATACAAAGAAAGAACAGATGATGGTTTTATATTCAGAATTAAACTAAAAATAGAATCCCCAGACCCCGTGGCGATCGGGCCTAACGGTCCTCGGGGAACAAAGAGCTGCCCCGGCCCTAGCCGCAGGGAGTGCCGCACCCACTAACTTCGCGGTCACTCCAACCCCTGGGTCGTCACCCGAGACTGGACAACGACTGTTTAATCTTATCATAGGGGCATTCCTGGCCCTTAATCGAACCAGCCCCGATGTAACTAAATCCTGCTGGCTCTGCCTTGCTTCCCCCCCCCCCTTATTATGAGGGAATTGCTACTTCAGGGACCTATAATAACATCACTAGCACTCAGGGATGCACACCCGACTCCCAACCACAATTCACCCTTACAGAAGTTACAGGACAGGGAACCTGCATAGGAACACCCCCCCGGGGCTACCAGAGACTCTGCAACACTACCACCCCAATTTTGGGGACTGATTCTTACCTGGAGCCCCAGCCGGGAACTTGGTGGGCATGCAACAAAGGCCTCACCCCCTGTGTGTCGGCTAAGGTTCTAAATAGCTCAAACGACTTCTGTGTCATGGTGCAGATCATACCCAGGGTGTTCTATCACCCTGCTGAAACTCTAGAAAATCAGTATGATAAACATCCCACCCGTTTTCGTCGCGAACCTGTCTCCCTAACCTTAGCCGTTATGTTGGGACTAGGGGTCGCTGCTGGGGTGGGTACTGGCGCAGCTGCTCTGATCCAGGACTCACAACGTTATATAGAACTCCAAACAGCTGTAGATGAGGATCTACGGACACTAGAGCAGTCCGTTTCTAAGCTAGAACAGTCCCTCACCTCACTTCAGAAGTAGTACTTCAAAACAGGAGAGGCTTGGATTGACTATTCCTGAAAGAGGGAGGACTGTGTGCGGCCCTGGGAGAGGAATGCTGTTTCTATGCAGACCATTCTGGAGTCATCAGAGTCCATGGCCAAACTCAGGGAAAGGTTAAATAAAAGACAAAGGGACCGGGAGGCCCAGCAGGGCTGGTTTGAAAGCTGGTTTAATCAGTCTCCCTGGTTGACCACCCTAATCTCTACCATTATGGGCCCTCTAGTTATCCTGCTCCTGCTGCTAACTTTCGGCCCTGCGTCCTCAACCGGCTGCTCCAGTTCATCCGAGAAAGATTGTCTATTACCCAAGCTCTGGTATTAACTCAGCAATGTCGGGCCCTCCAAACTGAAAAAATAAATGTTCCCTAAGATTTTAAGGTTAAAATCAGCCCAAACAAGAGGAGGGAATGAAGAAACCTCCCCCCTTGTAAGTAGGGCCAGCCCTAACCCAGAGGCAGCCCATCCATGCGTCTTCCTGAAATTTTAGCAACTAAAAGCATTCTGTTTACAATAAGAAAACCGTTTCCCCCCCCACACCCTGATTGGAATGTCCCTGAATAGGTTCATGTTGACCCTCCCCGAAATCAACCTGGATGCCATGCGACTCCCTCGGTTCTTTTGTCTTTAGGCAGTTTCTTTCCTTTTGCCTTTTAAAAGATACCTGTAATTGCTAATCGGGGCTCTTTTCCTCCTCGGAGGCGGAGAGCCCGTTTGCGCAAACGTTCAATAAACCCTCTTGCTAATTGCATCTGCCTGTCTGGGGTCTGGGGTCTGGGTCTCTGGGGCGTCCACCGGGCCACGTTGACACCCGTGAGCCAGGGTCCAACAGGTAAGTAGGTTGTGATAGGAAGGGACAGGAAAGTATCTTACATGGTGATGGCAATATTGTATTCTTCAACTTGATTCTGGTTTGCTTTATAATTTACTCTATAATTACATATGTTTTACGTACTTTTCTGTACGCATGTTGCATTTCACACATAAGCAAACACAAACACAAACACCAAGTTCCATAAAGTGAAATAAATAGGTTTTAACATTTAAAGGCAAGTGCTTTATCTTTATTCCTCAATTCTAAGTTACTATGATTATCTTCGTTTTATAAGTAAGGAGACAAGGCACAGAGAAGTTAACCAATTACAAAGTTAGTAAGTGGGAGAGCTAGAATTCAAACCCAGGCAGTCTAGGCTCAGAGTCTATATGCTTTGCCATTATGCTGTGTTTCTTTCCTGACTTCTTAACAAGTATAGTTTTATTGGTGCTGTATTTGTTTAATGGAGTCTTAAGACTGCTATTACTATTTTTCTAAATATAGCATTTATGACAGAGTAGAAAAAAAAGTTTTTGAGTCAGCAATCCTTACCTGCTACTCACTACCTATGTAACCGAAGGTTAACCATTTAACCTCCATTAATTTATTTTCTCATCAGTGAAACTGAAAAAATAACTTCCACCTCACTGGTATGGTTGAAAATTAAGCAAAATAATGTGTATTATACTTAGTACTTCGTAATGGGAAAATAAATCTTCAAAAATGCATTATTATTTCTCTCAGAAAACAAATGAAAAAACTTTTTTACGTATGCAGCCTCTTGAGGTTTTCCTCTTTTTTCTAAGTGAAAAATTCTGCAGTAGAGGTAGTGGGAGGTAGGTGAAAGTCTTCAAAATGCCACTATTAAAGTGACAAAGATGTTTGTAACATATTCCATCCCTAGAATATGTGCATTTTCTTTCCTCTGTCATTCCCTTCAGTTTCCCTCTTCCGTTCTGTTTTCCTGCCCAGCATTTAAGCCAAAGCTCTCATTAACTTATCAGTCTTACCAGAGACAAAAAAAAAGGTGACTTTTCAAAAAAAGTGAAATCAAAGTACTACCATCTCTAGTCATGAAGCGTTTTATTCTGTCTTCCTTTTGATAATCTCTTTTAAGATGAGACAACTAAAATATTGACTAATGACAAACTCTGAACAGTATATTCATTCAACAACGTCACACTGAGACTCTACAATGTACTGAAGTACTGAGAAAATAAATTTTTTTTTTAACTCATAGTCCCCATCCTTAATAAACTTAAAAAATATTATTGGGCAGCTCGGGTGGCTCAGCGGTTTAGCGCTGCCTAAGACCCAGGATCGAGTCCCATGTCGGGCTCCCTGCATGGAGCCTGCTTCTCCCTCTGCTTGTGTCTCCTCTCTCTCTCAATGTGTCTCTCATGAATAAATAAAAAAACTTTAAAAATATATTATTATTTTAGGAAGCCTGGAAGTCAGGTAACTTGTCCTAAATCACTTAAAAAATAAAACCTAGCAGGATGTTAATTACCAATTCCAATTTTCAGTTCATCATTTCCTACACCAATTGTTAGTCCTGGCTGCTAAATTAACTTTGTAATAGATCAGTGCAAGATTAATCTCTTATGGTAAAAAGTTTACTTGCCTGTTTAAAACACAGATTCACAAAAAAATCAGATGTGAAGCATGAGAAATGATCCTGAATATAAAGTGTATATTATTTAATAGTAGTCGTTATTAATCTTCCAAGAAGATGGAAGTAACTGAGACAAAGTTAAGTAATTTCACGAAAATAATTAGTTAAGCAAAAACACAAACTTGATCTTTCAGTTCCTCCCTTTTCATAATAAAGTTAACTAATAATTCAGTTGATTTGTTTGGTCTTAAATTTTAAAACTAAAAAGCAGTATTTTTCAAGATTACTTTGAACTGCTAATTATAAAACTAGGATTGATAGTCCTATTAAACTTCCTTAATTTCAAACTGTCAATGACTAATTAACCTGAAAAAACTGTTTCCTGGATATAAGGAGTGAAAATATATAAAATATCAATGAAAAATACATTTTAAATTAAGGTAGATATAGCACAGAAATTAAAAAATTGGGAAATAAAGATACTGTAGAGAAGTTATACTGTGTATTGGCTTGACTTCAAGTCTACTTGTTTACAATTTAAGTGAATGTTATAATCCATCTGTTTATGACAAAGGTCAAAAAAATGTTTTAGAAGTACAGTCATTTTGATATAAACAAAGTAAGTTGTGCTAGGATGTCATCATCTCATCTGTTTTCACTGTTAAGAACTCAGGAGCTCAACTGCTTAGCAATAAAAACATATGAACATGCAACTATGGCAAGAGGGTATCTGTACTATAAATAGTGAGTATGTGAGGACTATTAGTGTGTTTGGCATAGCCAAGGTGACTGCTGATCTAAAATAGCTCTCCAAAGACCTGGAGGCAATTAGATCCTGCTGAGGCAAAGGCTACTTTTGTCTGCAGTGGCAAAAGCTGTGTAGCAGCCCGGAAGATCATCTTGCCCATCAACAGGGACTGCTCTAACAGAAGGAGACTTTTACTTTTGTGCAGGCAGCTGGACATTAGCTCTGGTTGGCTAAGCTGTCTTTCCCAAGTACCAACTCCAAAAAGGTACACCTTAACTAAATTTGGACTTCATTCCTTTCATCTACCCTTGTCTTGAACAAGAGTATGGTTAGTTTATCACTGATTTGGAATATGCTATATCTTTATTGGCTTATTAAGAGGCATTATTCTGTATACTATTGGCTTGTGAAACTCCCACAGTGAACCTACGTTAAATAAACCACTGGCAAATACAATCTCAGTCTCAGCATTAATTTGCCTCCTGAAAAAACCCGAAGTTATTAGCTTTACAGAATTTTTAAAAATATTCTCTCAGTTTCAAAAATTAAACATTTTAGGAAATGAAAAGATGATTGTCAGCCAGAATCCTCTCATTAAAAAGAGTACATAAGAACCGGGGGAATATTCATTCAAAACAATTTAAGCACACAAAAATTTTTCTAAAAATCTATAAATTCCTTTGTGTAAACATTTAGAAGCATGCCAGGCACTGTTATACTCCGTAGATAAGTTTGCTATTATTTCTGAACTTAATAAAACCAAACTTAATGAAATCTGTATACTGTAAGAGAAAAGTCATCAATTGAATTGATAAATGCTAGAGAAAAATTTTAATATTGATGAGGAGACACAATCTTATTGCTCCTCAACCTCTAAAAACTGATAAAATCACCTTCAGAAAGTATTGTCAGGGTGTTCTTTATTTGAATTATACACAATGGTTAATTTGAGGCATGGCCTACACTGGTAGAGTGTGGTCGTTT